GTCCCTGGGAAGTGATTATTTCACACAAACTACTTGATCATTATGTATATGATGAATAAATTAACTCTGTATAATTAATTTAATGTTAATTTAAGATAAACTGACAGAGTTTTCCTTTAGTATTTACCCAAGATTACTGGAGATTGGACGGCCTCTTTTCCTCGTGTGCGTTCACGTTTTCTCCCTTTTGGAGCTATTTCCCTCAAGGAACAATGTTGTAACAAAGAACATTTCAATGGTTTCTGCAAACTTCAGCATGACTTTACTCTTGTATACTTTGTATATGTATATCAGAAGGACACTTTACATTTCAAAAGCAACAGCTTCTCAGTTTTAGAAGACAGCTTATTATTTCAAAAGAGCTTCTCATTTGCAAGGGTAGCCTAAGCTCTCAGCAAGGAAGATCATTGCCGTGACTCACTAGTTCTCATTGCTGATAAGATTGCTTTTTGCCCCAAATGCTTGGTTTTCAGCTTGGGAAACTTCTTTAAATTCACCAGTGACTTTGCCAGCTAGACAACAACAGCATCAGAGTGTGAATCACACCATTTCAATAGGCTGATTGTGAAATAAATATGAACAGGAACAGCAGGGGGCTGGCTTTTCTTTAGCAGTCAGTTTCCTTTTCACTATATGCCCTTAAAATGCCTAGGCAGCCTATTAGCAGAGGAGAAGATTGATAGAATTGCATTTACATTTTAAATCAAGCCAAGTTCTTGCTTCCCCAGCCACAACCCTTCTAAGACATCAAACAAACAAACAAACAAAAAAAATCAAAACAAAAAGACAAAGCAGCAGCCGAATAGAAAGGAGGGAAATAAATGTTAATTTGCTTAGTCCTCTAATGGAAATTAGCTTAATGGTCCAAAATTGAAAGTATCTCTGTTAAAGACCTTGGCTTGTTCTGCACATGAAAGGCCTAGCACTGCAACTGGGGTGATTCGTCACTCAAAATATTTCTATTCATGTAGTTCCTCAGTGCAGACCCAGCTGTAACGGTCTGTCTCAGATTTGTATTGTTATTTCTCTTTTATTTTGGGAACAATTATAAGAGTAAACCCAAAATTTCTAAACAAAAATTTTAATGTGTCCGAGTAGATGCACTATTGCTGTGAAAGTCCCCCAGTCCACCCTAGGATCTGACTCAGCTTTTGCCCATCTAGTGATCACAAATGCCCACTCCTTGGACACCCCAAACCAAAGCATGCTGGCTTAACTAACAGCCATGGCAATGTCCATGACAGTGGCCATTTTCTGGGAAGCCACCCATAAGCCAGTTCTGCTTATGGGTGGGGAGGGGACCTGGTCAGCACTTCATTCTTGCATGTGTTCTCCAAATACCTGTTTGAGCACCTAGCTTAGATATCCAGTTAGACTATTTCAGGCATACACAGAGCTCCATTTTACATATCTTCAACTACTATGAAGTCATCTGACTTCAACAAATACGAAATAAAAACATAAGGGTAGTTAGTCATCTGAGAATTCATTAAATGTGGTTCAGAAGCAGGTTACTTTTTTGTTTTTAAAATCAAAGGATCATGAAGAAGAATGAAATTCAGACTTAAATGTTAATTATATCTGAAACAGACTGCATTTCTGATATTCCAATACCTTTTTCTTTCAAGGCAAATTGACTGAAGAAAAATAGTGATTAATCAGTTTATTGATTTAGTTAAAGAGAATGAAACTCCACTTATTTTCATCACTTCTAGGTTTTATCAAGTAGAGAAACTCATCAGCTATTTCACCTTACTTATATATTTCTGTGCCTCAGAAGAGTATTTATTCACAAAGTGCTTGCCATATTGTTTGGTTTTAAGGCACTGACTTTCAGCCTGTTTCATATCTCCAACAGGCAGCACAACACATCTGATGGACTGAAAACAAGTTTAAATCTAGAGTGAGACTGTAGATCTGTAGAAGTCTGAGACTTGTGTCACTGATTTCAGTGTGGGTAGGATTTCTTCCATTGTACTTAAATATTAAATGTGAAAAGAGGTGAGCACAAAAAGAAGCAGAACTATGGAGACATGATGCATTACACGGATCCCTGATTTGCCTTCTCAAACAATAATTTGTTCTACCTTGCAGTTGTGCTAGTCTCCTGGAAGACCTGCTATTTGTATCAAGAAATGAACACAGCACAAGCTTTGACATTTGCAGGTTTCTAGGCAAGAATAAACAGAAAACTGAACCTGCCAGCATGCTAAGCAACTACTGGAAATCTCCTGAGCAGGCTGTATCTCAGCGGAGAAGTCTCTTTGGATTCCCGTTGGCTTGGATTGGGCTATTATAAAGACCTCACTTTCAGTTTCATCCACTTAATTTCTTTGAATAACGTAATACTTCTGAAAGCTATGGGAATAACAGTCTTGGAAATGAAGTCCTTAATTTCCTTATAGATTAAGCACAGCACAGACAAGATCTCCTTGGAGGGACAACCTTTACAAGCAGATAGCTCAGGCCTCACTCTGAACTCAGCCCTGGAATTCCCCAGTGGGCTTGTATCATAGATAAATTTGGAGGTTGCATACGCTTATGTTGCTCTGATGCATTCCATTCCAGCCAACATCATTTTTTCATCACAAGTATAATTAGAGAGGATGGGAGGATGGGATACTGACCAGCAATGATAAGACTTGGAGCTATCTGCCATATTTGCATGTGTAAAGGAGAGAGAGAGAACAGGAAAGAGAAAGAAAACAGGAATAACTTGCTTTTACTGCTGAAACCAAACAGGGCTCTCTCCCTGTTATCCTGCAGTTGAGGTCCTCTCTTCAGTGCTAAAGCATGGTTGTAACTTAGGATAACACAGCAAAACTTGGAGGCAGACAAGGTACAAGAAAACAAGGCAGCTCTGTCACTGAAGCACCAATGTCACCACACTGCAGATGCGTGTGGGGTTCTTAGAGGTTAAATTGCCTTTTTCTTTGCAAGACACTGAAGGCTTAAGGCTCTAAATCCCTCACTACTCAAATCAATAAGCCCTGCAGTCTCTGAAAAGAGTACTGCTGGCAGGACTAAGACCACATAATCTTCTGTCTCCCTGTCATTTATGGCAGCCCTCCCACAGCCTCCGAGGAAAGTGCTATTATCCCCATTACACAGACAGGAGCTGAGACCCAAACAAGTCTGGGTGTTGTCTGCACTGCCAGGACAGCAGCTCATGGGGACATCTCTGAGCAACCACGAGCACTGCTCTGACTGCGCTCCAGGGAATGGCAGGAGCTTGTGTCCCCACTGCAAGGATTCTTTGTCTAAGAACAGGCTTTCATAGAATCATAGAATCATCTAAGAGCTTAGGTTGGAAGGGGCCTTAAAGATTACCTAGCTCCATCCCCTGCCAGGGGCAGGGCTGCCACCCATCAGCTCAGGCTTCCCAACCTGGCCTTGATGCTTCCAGAGGTGGGGCATCCACAGCTTCTCTGGACAGTCTGCGCCAGCACCTCACAAAAGGCTCACAGCTTTGGAGTATTTTTCCTCGATATATATGTATATTTTAAAAGAAAACAAGAACAGTATTGAAAAAAGAACCCTGTACCACTGAGCAAACAAAGGGAACTTGTGCTTAACAATCACAGAAAAATGCTGCTGCAATGCTAGTACATCAACAGCCCTGCCTGCCTTGTCCATTGCCTGCAGTTTGGCCAAGCTGCACACACCACCAGCAGGGATGCAATGCCAGCCTGAAAGAGAAAGAGACTCATTGAGTCATCCCAGCTCAAAGCATGGACATGCAGTACAGCTGTACACACCATCCCTTCTGCACCACAGCAGTGTGAGAGGCTGCACAACCTGCATTCAAAATTCAGTGCTGATATTACAACAAAGCACAACATGGACAGTGCACAGGCAGAAGCCAGGAAAAGCAAGACAAGGCCTCAACCAAAATGCCAGGCTTTCCCAGAAGGCTGTGAACACCTCTTTTGTGGTGAGCTGGCAGCTTGCAGGGAAATTCGGCTCAGCTCTGAAACAAGAAATGGCACATCTTCTGCAACAGCAAGCTCAGTCATGGGCTTTGAATTGCTTCCTAAGTATACAAGACTTTCTCTGTAAAGAGCTGTTTTGATTTTCTTTCCTATTTTTCAATATAATAGGAAGCTGACTTCATAAAATGTCTCACAGCAGCTCCCAACTATTTTAAAATAAACATTTTCATTAAACAAGTGGATTTTCATATTAGGAAAGCAGTAGCTTGAAAGGGCTTTTGTGAAAAGTCTGTGGAGGTCCGGGTGTGCCGTTCAAACACGGGAGGAGTTTCTGCCTACATAGCGAGACTTTTGACTTTTAGAAAAATATTATTGTTTGAGTTTTCAGTAACTTGGAAGTAAGAGAAAAACAAACCTGAAAATTGTTTAAAAAGTAAAAAAGATTTGTATGCAGTTGTGTCATGATAGAATTTTATTTTGTCTCTCAGTCTGTGTCTGTTTTTGCTGTGGAATATTCCTTATAAGAATGAGTTAATAAACATACTGTGAGTAGATCTCATAGGATGGGATGATACAATTTTCATGAGCAGATAAAACTGAAAGAAGGTATGTGCCTCAGTCCTTGGAGCCCTTGAAGGACTATGAGATGTGCACATTATGATGCCCATAGAGATGGAGTGATGCAGATTTTCTCCTGCTGTGCTGCAGTAGCCCAAGTATCACTCCACAGACTGGAAGGGTTGTGGGTAGCAACTTCCCCATAGGTGCAATCCTCAGGCAACTTTTGGCTGTAATACGTTTTGATCTTTGCCCTTTCCCTAACTGCAGCTCTCAGGATTATTTCTATGTCCATTTTGAATCTATGTTCTCAGGTGCCATTAGCCTTTGAGAGGAACAGCTTGTTGTAACTCCATTAAAGATCTTTTCTGCCCAAGGCATGCTATGCTCCAGAATTAATAAGCTACTTTGCATAAGTGAAAAATGTGATAAAAACAGTCATCAAAAAGTGTCTGGAGTTTAAAGGACTCTGGTAGCTGCATAGCTGGTTCAGAGTTGTGCAAGGTGCCTGATGTCACCAGCAAATTCTCTTGAAGTCATCACTGAGCTTCTCAAGTTATTTGCCTGTATGTGGACTATAAATTGAACATATTCATAGATCAAGGATAAGCTGATAAGCTACAAATAGAAGAAAACTGAGAAGAAATTTTGTCTTTTTTGAATTGAATTGCATATTCTTCACGCTGAGCTGTGCAGAAATGCTGATGAGCTAGGAGACATTGGAAAATACCCATCTGGGCCAGAATCAACTATGCATGAAATCTGGCCCAGAAACATGAAGATTTAGGTGAGGAAATTAAACCCTGGTCCTTCTTTTACAGCTCTTTCCTGAAGAAAAAAAAATAAATGAGTTGTTCTTCCTGAGATTTCTGAGGGTAGCTCATTTTTTAAATTATTTGAATGGATGTCCATCTCAGGGTGGCTTTCCTTGAGTTAGTTTGTCTGGGATCAAAGAGAAACCACAAGGCAGGAATGCTGCAGCTGAGCAAAAATTTCAGAGCAAATTGATCCAGCAATTTTACCCTTTCACAATGCAGAGTCTTTTATTTATTTGGTTGGCTGGTTAAATGTTTTGGCAAAGCCTGGATCCAGCTTGCTTTTTGGGACAAGATCTTGGTAGCTCAGTGAATCATTGCATTTTCTTGTTCGGCAAGAAGCCTTGATCATTTTCCTGCCTGTTGGTGGCAAAGCATCTCTACAAGTACGTGGGGCTCAGTAAAACTCACCACTCAAGACAAAGATATTCGCAAGTATGCATGCTGAGTGTGTGGGCCTAGGTGGACTGCAAGTGCCAAGGCTTGAGAGGTAGGTGACAGACCTTTCATCCCCATTCCATTCGTTGCTACATCAGAACTAGGTCATCCAACCCAACATCTTCAGAGCTGAGAAAGAAATGAAATCCATGTCAGGTGATTATGGATGGGACCTCCAGGTATGGCTCCTGTGGCATAGGGCTTGCAACCTAGCTTGGGAAATGGGGCTGTGTATTGGGCCGTAGGATGCTGCACACTTGCTTCTCTCCGCTTAGGCAGCCAAAGTACAGCACAGTTTATAATGTAATTTCAAATAACTGAGGGAACCTTTCACACTAGCCCAACCTAAAAAGAGGGACTTTTAAATAGTTTTCAGCTGCCTCAATCTGGCCCAGACACAGGACATGGAGAATTATTTTACCACTTGTCAATGGCACTCAGAACAGCTTTCTTTTAGAGCATGATCCACAGTATTTTACTCAAAATGGAGCCACCACCAATGTTAGTATAGGTAAAATATAATGAAAAACAATAATGCTCACGCTAAGTAAAAAAATAAATAGATAAACAAATTCAAAGCAAATAATATCAAAAACATCCTTAACAGTATTGTATTGCTTATATCTTGCATGGAGAGAATATTTACATTGTTAAGAAATCTGTTCTTCAGTCAGAGCAGCTACATTTTAGCAGCTTGCCAAACAAGAATATGATAGGAGGATAATATTTCACTGCCACTCTCAGCTACTTTTTACAGTGAGGAGATGATTATTAAGAGCCTGTTTCTTTACTGGAAAAGCTCACACAAAGAAGAATCCTTCCCTTGGATATGCAAGAGGCAGTTTTGTTTAGGACTACAATCCAACTGAGGTGTGCCGTCTTATTTTCAAAGGTAGAAGGTTTTCCAGCTTCATCTTGGCTCTTCATTCACTTTTCTAAACAACTCCATTTCCTAAAATAAAAAAACTAAAAATAAAACCCAACAACCCATTTTCCAAAGGCAACCCTAAATTCTCACTGTTGGGACTCCCAGCAGTTGAAATTTTTCTATCCTCACAAGGTATTTAGCAAATTACCATTCAGGAGCACATGACTTTACTAAACAAATATTTCTTTGAAAAAGCAAAGAAATGCAACAAGACAGTACAAAGCAGATCTGTTTCCTTGTTTCTTCCAGGTATTTGGGTAGTCTCAAGTCAGAATCCTCTACAAAATACATAATTCTTTTTCCCAAGACTGGTTTTCTCTCCGAAGTGACTGATAGGAAGCTCCTTTATTTTACAGATGCTTTGTCATTTTCCCTTTTCTCATCTTCAACTGAGAATTCCCAGTTTATTTCAGTGCCATGGGGATTGTGCCCTCCATCAGATAATTTCCTATTTTGGTCAGTACCAAGCTAGAACCTCAATTTGAAAGGTGTTGGGTTCTACTGATTCTTTTGGGGGGTGGGAGGGTAACTTGTGAAATAAGCAGTTCTTCAGCAAAAAGTACTTCCATTTTATAGGACAATTAACATTTAACAACATATGTTCAGCCCCATGCCTGCTTCCCAGCATCTGGATGTTTCAGCTCCATCTGGAATCTAATAAAGGAACAGAGTCTCATAAATCTAACACAGAAAGCAAAATGGTGTTTATACATTTACGACAGCCATATAGAGATGCATTAATTCTATTTGAGACCACAAATGTGTAAATATACAGCACTCCTCTGGTAGCCATTGCAAGCGCTGTTGGCTTTGGTTTAGAAATAGAGAGAGTCTGCACAGGTTGAAAAGAGAAAATGATACACAGTCAGAGGTCTTTCTTATAGCAGTAACCTTTCAGGCCTGCTAAGGATGATAAGCAAGTCTGATCAACACTGTCAGCATAAGACAACAGCGCTCGGAGGATGCCTCTCCATGCCTCTCCACATACCATATGCAGTCCTGCAGCTTTAAATTACTTTCTTGAAAAGAGGCTTGTATGCCAAAACATACACAAGACCACAGCCTCTCGCCCTTTGATAACCCTGTACTGTTTCTTACACTATTTCTCTTGCTTGGGAAGCTCACTCAGTGGTTTTCTTTCTGGAATGCAGCATGCCAGCAGTGCTTGTTTTTGTTATCCTTGTTCCCTCATTTCCCTGCTCCAGGGGAAAGTGCTAGCAGCCCCGCCTTGTAGGTTGGTAGGAAATTTAAACCAGCAGTAAGCTGCTCCTTGGACCACCCCCAGACATTTTTTCCCCTCGTTGATACAGACGACTATTTAACTGGGGGTTGACTTGTCAAATTCATTCACTGACGCTTAGCAGGAGCTGCCCAGCCATTGACAAGAATTTTTTCCTCATCTCCTCCCCTGGACAAGCTCTCCAGGACAAAGATGCTGCTGAGCCTGCTTGCTCTGCTCTCTGCAGCCCTGCTAGCCAGAGCAGCCCCTCCAACTTGCTACTCCAGGGTGTTATCTCTGAGCAAAGAAATCACTGAGTCCTTCAAGGAGCTGCAGACCTCCAAGGCTAAGGTTAGTCAGCCTAAAAACTCCTACAAAGACATTGCAGGTTGCTTGCTTTTGATACAAGTAGCTCTCAAAATAAAATTGCTACTGATCTTTCTTCTTTTCTGCAGGACTCATGTGTAGAGACGCTGCCCAGGCTGTACTTGGACATTCACGTAAGTTTTCACATTGCCTTCTTCCTTCTGCGTGGGAGAAGCAGCCACTGAAAAGAGAGCATAACTCTTAAGATTGTTAACACCAGAAGAGCTGTTTGAAACTATTTTTTAAAAGCATAACTAACTAGAAAGATGAGTGACTGAAAAAAAATAAATCTCACATTGAATCTTATTAAAATCCCTATGGAGCTTCTAAGATTTTGTTTGGAAGTGATTGCCATTTCTACATTGTTTATTGTGACAGAAGCTAAATATGCACAGCAAAGCTTTGAATAATAGTTGTTTGTTTGTTTGTTTGTTTGTTTTAAAGAAAAAAGCAAAACAAATTCTTTATTCTATAAATTTCATTTTTTATCATGTGTGGCTCTGGCACTACAGTCTTAATTAACAGAAGTGCAGGGATATCTTGCTGGCTTTTCCTGTTTTAAATAACCATTTGTTGAAACCAGAAAGCAAAAATATCCTTATGGAATACAGAGGAAAGACCACAGAAGTCATCTCCCAGCAAAGATGAAATAGTCTCCTGTGCATGCATTTTATATTTGGGATATCCGACATACTTTGCTGCTGTTCTCAGTGTTCCCCTGAACAACTAACAAGTAAAAAAACCAAAACAAAACAATCAACAAAAAATGCCTGACACATTCTGCTGGAAGCAATTACACTGTCAGGCATTGCAAGTGAGATCCCTTCAGAACCTACCTCTACAGCTGCTAGCACCTTTCCTCAACAGAAAGGCTGAGCAGCGTGATCCCAGTGCATCAGTTTCCCGTGCTTTATAACAAGAGCTGGAATATTTATTTATCTGCTGTACTAGGATGCTGTGAAATTAATGTTTTCCATGCTTTGCTTTAATAACGCAAGTTGTGAGATAAAATGATCCAGAAAAAGTAATTGCTTTTTGTATGGGAACGGAGGAATTGTGTCATAAATCCTTGATTATCTTGTTCACTAGCAAAACTAGGCACTCTCTTAAAAGAGAGACAGTGAAACAGTACACCTTTTTTTTTTTTTCTTTTTTTTTTCTTTTTTTTTTTTACATAGCCCCACCAGCTACAGGAACAGATTTTACTGTTTTGGCACTGCCAGCTCCCAAAGCATGTGGGAAGCTGGCAAACCAGGACTGCGCCTGCAAAATTTTCTGAGCGCTTATTTGGACCAAACGCCTTTGTTATGACATATTGAAAGTTAATTTCCCACACTAAAGGTTACATAAATCACATAGACACAGAGGTAGGAATTCAGGGCTCCCACAGAGGCAATAAGAATTTTGTTAAGTGGTGGAAAGGGACATAAATCTGCATTTGTGCACTGTTACAAATGCTTCTTTTGCACTCTTTGCAGAATTACTGTGTGCTGACAAAACTGCGTGACTTTGTGGCCTACCCCAGATGTGAAAGAGTGCTGGAAGTGAGTGAGCTGAAGGAAAAAGCCCGGAGCCTGTACACCATTATGATCTCCTACTGCAGGAGGGTGAGTCAGGATGCATCAACAGGGACACAGTGTTCAGCTCCCTCTATCTTTATCCTACCTCCTGACTTCAGCAAAAGTGAATCAAGGCCTGACTTACTTACATTTGCACTATCCTCTGTCTTCCTTCTTATAACATCAGCCATCACTCTTGTTTCTCCAGGACTTGGCATTCCTTACTGATGACTGTAATGCTCTGGAAAGTCCCATCCAATCTTCCATTGAGTCCTCTGAAGATATTGACAGCTAAAATGGAGTCAGCCCCAAAGTTGTACCTGGGAAATTTTCAAGGAGACCAGGAGTCAAGATGCATATAACACTGTCAGCTACAGCATTAGACCTTTTTTGAGCACACTAGTAATATTGTCTCAGACCTACCCATTTTTCTCAGCCTTGGCAGGAAATGAACCGCATGCCTTACATACCTGCAGAGCTGCTAGGAAAACTATGGTTAGAAAGCAGTTTTTTATTTGGCAAGGTATGATATTTCAGCTTAGCCAAATGTATAAAGTACGTTTTGTTTAAACACTAGGTACTAGATTTTTAAACTCTTCTATGAATAACTAGATCGTACTACATTTTCTGTATTCTATCCTAAGAAGTTATTTTATTAGATTGACATGAAAGAGACTTTGTTTTTCTTAAAACATTTGATAGAAATGTAATTCTGTGCTGACAGACTTCTCTCTAACTGTATGGATCATATATGTATGCTGGTAACGTTTGATATCAGACTTGTAAGAATAGAAGTGAAAGTATCTTGCCTGAGTGAAAAATTAAATAAAAAACCATGCTTGTGTTACAGCATGTCTTTCAAGACACACCAAAAGGAGTCATTCTTTCAAACTTCTCACAGCCACTTGCAAGTTGCTTTTCACAGCACAACCCATCTTTAGCTTCATTTCCACAGCCATGCAAACTTAGCTGTGTCTGCATGATTTGGCAATGCAAAAGTCTCTACTGGGAGATTTTTTCTTTCAGCAAACCATTTTCTTAACAAAATTAGCAGATTATTTTTTAAATACTGTTTGTTCTGTGAGAATGTAAGCTCTGAGGCTTAGAAAGCTTCTTCAGTGTTTAGACAGACTGTTCGGTTTCCAAGGCTCAACTCACATAATGAGATACTAAGATCAATAAAATTTCCAAATCACAGATCAACAAGGTTGGAAAAGACATCCAAGGTCAGCCAGCCCAGCCATCCCTGCTTTCTTCTCTACAAACAATTCCTCTCTCTCCTGTACAGTATTGTCTGGTTATTCCTCTGTAGCATTGCCCATCATTCTGACTTGCTCAGTGGTCTCAGTACATTTTATTTAAAAAAAAATATATCCTCTGTAAGATTATTGAATTATGTGACAGGTACTGATCTGTCATCTTCTACCATGCCAGTGAACATCTGAAGCTACGAAACAAAAATGACTGACAACCTTCAGGGAAAGAATCAGTTGATTTAATGGAAGAAGAAAATGTGTGCATGGAGGGAAAAAAGAAAATTTTGTTTTGTTTTTTTATTTCAATAAAACAATGTAAATCCAACATTATTTAACAGTTTTTTTTAGCTAGTTTTGTGGTTTCACCATAGTCCTGTTACAAATTACCTGAACTATTCAGCTTTATACCCCATCTTATCTCTATATCAGAAGCAGATATGGATTCATATAAATTAATCCTCTTTTCTTTGCTCTGTTATGGAGAAATACCATGCAGAGAGATCTACACTTTTGCTAAAAGTCAGTCCATGGCCATTTGATTCATTTTCAGTGAAGAAAGGAAGCATGAAGGAATAAAACGTGAAAATCAGTAGACACCTATTCAGTATTTATGCTTTGGACTACTTCATGCAATGTCTTCATACCTCAATTCACTCATTTTGAAAATAAATATTTCTGGTGTGAAGAAAGCTCTCAGGAACACTCACATTTTAATATAGATGATATGATATTTTCCATGTAACAGAAAACATATTTTTTGACGCAAATTTAAGGAGTCCAAAGAAGGAAAAAGAAATCTCAAATGAAATCAAAATTTCTTCCTGGGCTCCAAAGAAGGAGAACATGGCTGTGTTTAAATGTTCCTTTGCTAACTGAATATATTAACCCAATATTCTATTCCATTCCACTCTGTTCCATTCCATTCATGAACAGAAGATCTATTACATTTAGAAGAAACTGATCCCAGACGAATTAATCCTGAAGCCATTGCAGAAATTTCCATTCCACTGAACCTGGAACATTTGACTTTGTCACTGAAACACAGACTAAGGGAGAGAAGCACTGAATCTAGGAGAGATGCTGAGGGAAGAAAAAAAGCCCCTTCCTTTCCAGTTTGTTTCACTTGTAACTGTAGGATCAAGGAATGTGCCCATCCAACTTTGTACTTCTTTCTCAGAGTTGAAGTCCTCTTACACTAGCCCTTCCAAGCCTCTAGATGCTCCTGGGCAGCTCACAGGTTTCCTACTCACTCACGTTTCTCTGTTGCCACAGGGTAAGAGACAGTAGTAGCTCAGCAGTCTGATCTAGCACCAGACTGAATTCAAAGAAGGGCAACAGCTTGGATAGTTCAATTCTCAGAAAAATCGTAGCTTGGCTTGCCTTGTAGGATTCGTCTCCTCACCAAGCCAGCAAACTCTGACAAGATCCTGTGCACTCAAGAGATATGAATTTCTTTTTTTTCTGCATCATTTGGACATTTCCAAGGCCAACTCCTTTAGCAGCAACCATGCCCTGGAACAAGAACTCCTATTAACAAGTTGGCAGGGAGCCTGGTAACCATATACAGAATGCGTAAGTACCTTGGCTCAAGGAGAAATGCAGGTGGACTTAAATCACTCAGCATTCAAGCTTTTCCTCCCTCTAACCAGGAGCTCCCAAGCTCATTGCTTGGAAACAAGCGATGTTGGAAAAGTACCAGAGCCTGCACACTACCATACACACACCAGAACCACATCACAGCCTCTGCATGTCATACCTCTTTACAAAGAGGGTCACAGCTGTACATGCAGTATGGCCACCAAAGGCCATGGCATTGCAGAGCTGATACAGGGACCAGTTCTCATGCCTGGAAGCTGGCAGCAGGCAGCAAAAGCTGTTAATTTTTGGCTGTTTTCCCACTTCCAACTGTCACAGGTTTTAAACACAGGCCTGTTATAAAGCTAGCATTGTGGCTTGGCAAGTAAACTGCATGTTTCCTTCCCCTCAGAGGTCCACACAAGTCTGCCTCCAGAGTTGGACCTTGGCTAATGTCTGATCAGGTATCCATGGCACTTCTTTGGTTAGTAACTTTAGCCTCTTCAATACTGACAGGACACATCATTTCAACACAGTCCTATGTGGTTATTCACCAACAGCTCAGTTCTATACAGTTACATCCTACTTCTATAGAAGTTAATAAAAGCACCTAGGCACTTTAGAGACTGTAAATTCCTGAGAAGCCTGAAAAAGCCTATCCTCCATTTGTACACGTCCATTTTATTCCCAGAATCAAGATTTATCTGATCTCTGGTTTACTTTTAGATCAAGTATATTCCTCATAGTTTACACTTCTTCCCATTCTTCCCATATCTTGCATGTCATTTTTTTAATGGGAAATGTGCTGAAAGAAGAATTATGCTCTTTCAGTTCACAGCAGTCTGCTGTCACTCAGTCTTAATGAGATTTGTGACTAGATGAACCCTTTTCACAAATAGTATCTTTTTCTATTTTGCACAATGTAAGAAAAAAAAAAAAACAAAAAAACAGCACTGATAAACAGAAGTAATCCACTTGTAGTTTGACAAGAAATCCAGCACTACTTCCTTCCAGCAAGCCAGTAATTTTACCTTTTCGCCAGGTATACGAGAGGCAGTGGAGTCATCCACACAGCTGAACATACACTCCCACATCACAACAGTCTATGCTCCTGAGAGCTCCAGCTAAGACAGAGACCACAAAGGAATTAAGGAATACATATTTGCTGTAATTTGCCACATGGCTTCTTGCCTAGTTTGGGTAGACTACTACTAAAAAAACACATCATTAACAAATTGCACTAGTTGTATGAGAATAGAGAGGAACTGTAGAAAAATAAAGCATCTGCTCTATTGTCATTACCTTAGGAGGTTTGTTGGAGAGAGTAGTCAGTCATATTGAATCTTAACGAGGTGAAAATTGCAGGTTTGGGGACAAAAAAACTGAGTAAAGACATTAATTTCCAATGTTGCCATAGTATTTTACTGTGGATTTTACTAGAAGAAATTCATGTGCCATCTTCTCTTTACCAGTCTTGATCACATGGGCTTTCCTTAAGGAGGCACATCTGCTCATGCACTAGGTTTTGGTGAAGCTAGACAAGGGCTGGGAGCTAGCAAATATCTGACACCCAATTTCTGCCCCAAGTCAGAAAAGGCGGCAGCCATCAAGCTGACAAGGTTTTACAGCCTTTTCGCAGATAACATCAAATTTGCTACTAATTAGTAGAGTACAGAATAAATATCAAGTTACATAACTTATTTATTTTTAAGAGAGAACAGGAAAGCAGTGGGGATGAATCCAACATTTTAACATGCACTTCTTTTGGAGAGGGGTGTTATTTTGCCCGAACAACAGATTTAAGAGAGACCGGTAGTCCATTCCACCTTTCAGGACATACATGGCATCTATGGGTGGAGCAAATGGGATGCCAGCACCTTTTCCAGAAGTACAAGACATTAGCATTGCAACAAACACAAAGTTACCTTACAAAAATTTAAGCTCTGTACTTTACAGTGCTCAGATTTAAATATGTAAATCCACCTGCAGCTTTATCAATGGCCAAGTAGCACAGAAAGATTAATCAATAATGTTCTAACAATTGAAAAATACAGAATATTCATTTTGAAAAACCTAGAGACACTGTTACACTGCTTAAATTTTGAAATGAATGTACAACATTAGAGTACAAATTGGTTTCACTGCACTAAAATGAAGCAAAAAAGCTTTAGATACCGGTATATAGTATAAAGCCCACACTACAGTCAGTGGTAGTTTTTGAATAGACTATGTGATGGGGAATCACATTTGCTGCATTAAATTTAGGGAATGATTCACTTTACAGAGTGATTCAGATGCATGCTACCTTCCTCCTAGGACACTGCCTCAGCTCCCAGGCTGCCAAATCCTGTCAAAAAAAAAAAAAAAAAAAAAGAAAAAAGAAAAATCAAGCCATAGCACAGCTAGAGATGTGACGTTACTTTTAGACCCATACATTAAGTGTTTTCTTGTCTTTCTCTCACACTTGCTGACAAGAAACAGTTCACATACTAACTGCTAAATAACTTTTCTACTTGGGGTGGAAGTGGCCAAATTGCCTTTGGCAATGGATTCTGGTACATGCTATCTCCTCAATTGCATCCAAAATAGTTTGGAAGAATGGCAGCAACCTGAGATAAAAAAAATGCACACAGTAGTGTTCTAACAATTTCCCAGTATGGACAGGCATGTTTCAATACCTGGAAATGTTCCTAGCAGTATTTGAACAAATGGATAACAGACTGATTTTGAAACATAACAGTTCAGTTGTTCTTCTGGGGGGAATAAATCTGTTTTTCAGACTATTAACACACTTCAGGTTTTGTGATTTATTTCAAAAATAATATAAAAGAATCCAGGAAATGGATTCCAAACCTGACCAGTTTCTGTACAAATTTTGCTTGAGAAAAGTACTAGGTAAATAAATCAGAAGTGTGCTATGCCTACTGAAGGAAAGGTAAGTGTATATGCAATGTTTAGCACTTCAACTAGAAGTACTTCCAGTCACCTAGGAAGTTA